GAAGAAATAAAGGGGGTAAAAAAAATACAAAGGAAGAATAAAACTGTGAAAAATATATCTTATAATACTTAAAAAAGTAAGTAATAAATAAATAAATTTGAGATTATAATGAACAATAAATAAATAAGGTGCTTCTTACAAAGGCGAATAAATAAAGAAGCTAATTAAAAGAGTTGATACATTGATGTCTCACTGTAAAATTCAATTTCTACCTACTGTCATGATGGGTCCTACATTTATTTGTTCATTGTATTTTGGGGGGCAATTAATTGAATGCTTATTTATTTATTGAGCATTTATTTATTTCTGTATTTATTTTTAGATAAGGCAGAGTTGGTCCTCCATACTGTTTAAAGTTTTCTCTTTGAGTTTTCATTGGTTTTATTCCCTTATTTGTTCTAGTTATTTTTTTATTGTATTTAAGTTCTTATGTGTTTTCTTGTTTTCCCTCTGTCATCCTCCTGTATCAGTCTCCTTTCCCCAAGTTACCTTTTACATTCCTCTGTTCACACCTGCTCCCAATAGGCTGATTAGCCTGGTCTTTGTTTCATCGTCTTTTCAGCCTTCATCTCTGCATTTGGGTCCTTCAAACCTCCACCCAACCTGACAATAATACCATTGGTGACTTTCACCAGGGCAGTTTCAGTGTTATGATGATCTCTAAATCCTTGCATTAAAAACTCGAATGGTCACACACTTTATTAGCTACTAATTTGCTAATATATGTTTAGATGTATATTTCATCGAGTGGTCTTGATCAAGAGTATTTTTGAAGTGAAAGCATGGCATGAACAGGCAGTTCATTTAATAAAACCCTAGTAATTGTGTCTGTAACCTGACAGCTTAGTGAAGCAAAGCGGGTAAAGGAAAAAGTGTTACTCTGATATACCTCTAATATATAACTAATATTCTGGAGAAGTTTCCACCAGTTTTACTGAAGATGATCTACCTGTGATGGAACTGATTCATATATACTAAGGGGTATTGAAGGGATGGTGAGTAAGTAGCAGGCAGCATCACTATCCTGTCTCCCAGTGATGGAGTCTGATGGTCAGATTTAAAGAGACAGTCACATATAGCGGCTCTCAACCTCCCGCCGCTTTGACTCTGTCACTTTAAGGCACCAACGCTGCTTTCTTCAGCACCCTGCCGCAGACTCGCCATCAGCCTCGCCTCTCTCTGTCAAACAGAACCTGACTGAACCGAGATCGGACCGAATCACTATGACGGAAACCAGTAAGACGCACGTCATCCTGCTGTCCTGCGGCAGCTTCAACCCCATCACCAAGGGACACATCCATATGTTCGGTGAGCATCTGAGGGACTATGGGGGAGGGGGACAGGCCTGTGAGGGGACCCATAAGGATACCATACCCCCTCTCTGGTACCAGTCATACACATCCGAACCTAATCCAGCTGTTTATATAACAGGGAACCAGATGTTAGTTCGGATTGGTGCATCAGGTTGGTGCTGTCCAGGAGGGTGGTGCTGAAATGGGCGACGCATCAAACGCAACTCGATAATCCAAACATTCCAGTTTCTGATTCATCAGTACCGGTTCCGATAGAAAACATGGGGCAGAACCGCTGTCCGAACCGTGTGGCGCAGCGCAGACAGGAAACCTGGGATCCTGCGGGATTTTCCTCAACCATGTTACACAACAAACAGAAAGTGGAGCAGGAAGTTCAGGAAAACACCCTCAGAATGATCGCTTAGGGTGGAAATTCAGCATGAAAACATCCTGATGAAAACATGGGAACCAACTTCTTTAATTACAAATCTGTGAATGAACAAGCAAATCCTCAGCTCAATATCAACAATGTGAGAGAAAAAAAACGCTGATTGCTTCAAATTTTAAATCTAAATGCGGATAATGTTCACTCACTTTTTAAGCTAAATAGATGGTTGGGATTGATTGATTGGTTAAATTTATCTGTCAGTTTTCTGTAACTGGCAGATATATTTCACATGTGTGCATGAGCAGTTTGGGGGGTGATAAATAATTACTAATATATATATATCACTATTTAAAATTTGAAGCTTTCATTTTTAAATTTAAAGCACACTGCTATGTAATATAAAAATCAGCTTACATAGTGTTATGTGTATGCAGAGGTCAACCGAATGGAGTCAGTGATGTGCATTTCCATGACATTGCTTTTTTATTTAATAAATGATTTAGTTTGTGAAAGCTTTGGTCCTGTTGGTTACCTTAGAAACGCTCCATCTCTTTCTGTGAGATGTCTTGCATGCGTTATGAGAAGGAAGGGTGACGGATTGAATTTAATACATTTACAAAGAGTAACACTTTAAACCAGCATATTAATACAGGAGGGACAGAATT